CGTTATTATCTGTGAATTGTCTTCTTGGCATATATAGCGGAGTGTTTTGCTGTTGCTTCCGTCACGGTTTGCAAATCAGAAGTTTTCTTTTTCTGAGACAAGCTGCGATCCAAAACTACAGAATCCAGTCTGCTCTTCTATTTAACCAATAATTGTAGTGAGACGAGTTGAATTCATGCTTGAGAAATTTGTGCGAAAAAAAAAACTGACTAGACTAGGAGAGAATTCGAACTCCGTTCTTTTATTCCATTTTCAGTAATGATAACCGTTACGCTACACGCATTTAGCATGAGCGTGTGTAATTAAGATATACTATGCATAAAATATCTGTTTTAATACATGTGCATAGACTCACGTAGAAATTTGTTTTCGTATTAAGATATATATTGTTAGATACTGTTTTATTTCAAAGAAAAGAGAACATATTTTGAGTACATATGTATATTCATATACATTGATTGATCTATCTATCTATCTATCTATCTATCTATCTATCTATCTATCTATCTATCTCTCTCTCTCTCTCTCTCTCTCTCTATATATATATATATATATATATATATATATATATATACCTCTTAATTGCTGTTGTTTCCAGGTCCACTCTGAACTAGGGTGGTAGCACCTGTAAGGATCCCAGATATGGGCAAATAGTGACCTCCCACCAAAAAACAAAATTTTATGAACGTATAAAAATATGTTTTTGTATAAAAAATTATCAACAATACATATTTATAATAAAATTATCAACAATACCTGTTTATAATAAAAGTATAAACAATACTTATTTATAATAAAATTAGCAACAATAACAATTTATAATAAAGTTAGCAACAATACTATTTTACTGCGCATACATTAGTTGAAACCATAAAATCCTGTTCAAAATATTTATATTTCGGGATAAAATGACACAGAGAGGTTTCTATGCCTCTAAACAAAATCAACCAACCAAACTTTTATTTATTTATATATATATTTAAAAATAAAAAATATTTAAATATAAATATATATATATATTTATTTATATATATATATATATATATATATATATATATATATGTTGTAGCAGTAAAGCCATTAAAGCAAAAGGGGTTACTGAGTGTGGTAGAATTAGAAAACAGAAACATTAATAATGAGCGGGAAGAGGAAAGACTAATGAAGTCAGTAGATAGCGGTTGTCACTGCATTTAAATTTTTGAAGATCAAAGTTGGCTGGAATATTGAATACTTAACGTGTAAATATATACGTGTACACATGGAACTGTGTACATATATACACAAGATGAATACATCTACGTGTTTATATTTTAGGGAAATCTATGACGAAATGGAAAAAAAAAAGTTTTCGTCTGATGATGTTTAAATTGATGCGATTACATGAAGGAGAGAAGATGCTAAAATTTTATATTTAAATTTAATTTTTTCTTTTAAAATATAGGTTTCGGATATATAGACTAGCCGATTTCATGTAATTTCATTTTTTTTTTTTTTTGTTT